CTCACGGCAGTCCGGGGGTTCGTCCGAGTGGTCCCCGCAGTCGTCCTCCGTGTCGCACTTCCACCAGAAGGGGATGCACTTGTCGTTCTTGCACACAAACTGGAGGGCAGGTGGGCGAGAGGGGTTGGTGGGGGTCTGGGGAACTCGGAGGTTTTCTTTGAGGGGCTGGGATGTCTCACAGGAGAAGCAGGGTCAGGGTATTTTGGGGGGGGGACGAGCTGGGTTGAAGGCTGGGATAGGATGAATGCAGGAAGGCCAGGTGAGGGGGCGTCTGTGTGGAGGCCAGGGTTGGGGGTACTAGTGAGGGAGGGTCAGGGTTAGGGTGTGGGGGTGTTTGTGTGAGGTGACGGGTGTAAAAGTATTGCTGTGGGGAGACAAGAGGTAGGCAAGAAATGTGGGGGTGTTAGCGTGGGAAAACCAGATGCGTGAGGACATTAGAGAGGGTGTTGGGGTCCAAAGGAGGAGAGGGGGCACTGGTGTGGGGGCCGGGGGATCAAGGCATGGCTGAATGGGGGCCCAGGGGGACCGCCTCACCTGGCTTGCCGTGCAGTTGGACACACAGGTGCGCCCGTCGCTGCCCAGGTAGAAGTTGGTGGGACAAGCGCACTTGTGGCCGCCCCCGGGGGACAGCAGGCACAGGTTGCTGCAGCCGCCGTTGTTGACCTTGCAGGGGTGATTGGGCACTGCCAGAGGACGAGGGGGTCAAGGGCGGCGACTGGGCCCAGTGGACGGCCCACCGCTCCCGAGCCCCGGCCCCTGGCAGAGCGAGGGCAGTGCTCGCTGCTAACACTTGCTCTGCCTGCAGCGGCTGCCCAGCCTCTCTCCTGGGCCGAGGGGAGTCAGAGCCAACCTGCTCTCCCAGGAGGGAGCTGAGGCCAGAGAGAGGAGCGAGCCTCTCGCGGCCAAGATGAGTCCAGCCTGCAGCCCACGCTGCCCGCCTTCGGGGTCCCTGCGCCCAGGCCCCCCCTGCTTGATTGGCCTCAGGGCCTTGGGGCTGAGAGAGTCCAGGGCGGGACCCAGGTTGGGCTGAGCTGTGGAGAGCCGGGCCACGGCCTGTCCACAGCCTCTCGAATCTCCCGGTGCTGGAGAAGGGGTGGGCAGGAGCCCCTGGGGGACTGAGGGTGCCGACCGCTGGGATGAGATGGGGCCTTGTGCGGCTCACCTTCACCTGCCCCCGGCCCGCTGCGACTTACCGTCGGGCTGGCGCAGGGCGTGGAAGACGTGCAGGTCCATGGGCCGGTGCAGCGTGCTGATGAGGAGGGTCTTGTTGGCGCCCGTGGTCTTGTGGGCTCGGTTGATGGACTTGGTCTCCCAGTCGGTCCAGTAGACGTAGTCCTCAAACAGGGTCAGTGCGAAGATGTGCGGGATGTCCTGGTTGAGCACTGCGGACGGGGAGGGGACAGGTCAGCAGCCCCCCGAGGTGGGTGCCCGCCTCAGCCCCAGATGGCGCAGTGGCTTCCTAAGGTCGCACGGCTAGTAAGTGGCAGAGCTGGAAGCCCGACCCGGCCTGTCTGAGCCTGCTCCTGCAGCACAGCATCCATGGTCTCCCGTCAGGAAGGGGGTGCTAGAGTACGCCGACCCCAGGCCCCACGCCCACCCGCCTCGGCCGTCATCTGGAACTGTGCGTGGAAGGGGTCCTCTGGCCGAGGCCGACCCCCGGGACGCACCCTGCGGGGCTCGGCCGTGCCCTCGGGCTTTATGCCCACTCTTGCCCTGGGTCCTGGTCCCTGAGAGCTTCAACCCCAGCCCCATCAGGGCTGCGGTGCCCGGGCAGCCTCGCTGGCACACTGACCAACGTGACGATTGGAGCCGTCCAAGCTGGCAAACTCAATGTAGTCCTCCCGAGCATCGGCCCAGTAGATGCGCTCCGTGACGTAGTCCAGGGTCAGGCCGTTGGGCCACGTGATCTTGGTGTCCACGATGACGCTGCGGCCAGACCCATCCATGCCGATCCGGCCGATGAGTGAGTGGTCGCCCCAGTCTGTCCAGTACAGGTACCTGGCAGGAGGGTGGGCAGTGAGCCCGAGAGATCCAGCGACTGGTCCCTCCAGCTCCCACCTGCATGTTGGGGGCGGGGGGCGGGGCCTGGCCGCCTGCCCCCTGCTTTCACCAGCTCCCAGCTCCCGCCACTCCCAGCTCCCTTACCCGTTCTGCACATCCACCACCAGAGCCCTGGGCTCACGGAGGCCAGAGCTGACCAGCACTGTCCGGTAGGCCCCGTTGAGCTTGGACACCTCGATGGTGTCCCGGCCTTTGTCGCACCAGTACAGGTTGCCGCCCACCCAGTCCACAGCCAGCCCGTCGGGGTTGCTGAGGCCGGTCCGGTGCAGCACCTTCGGGTGAGGGGGGGAGAGCATGAGTGCCCTGCGTGGGCCCCTCAGCCGCAGCTTCCCCGTATGTACGTGGGGAGCGTGGCTGTGAGGACAATGGAAAACCCAGCCTGGGGCCTGGGGCGGCCGAGGTGCGAGGGAAGGGGTCTCTAAATGAGAGACCCTCACGCCCCCCACGGCAGGTGCCTGAGAGCACAGGCGTCAGGGAGGCCAGACACAAGGGGGGTCTCACTGAGGATCAGGGAAAGAGCAAGAGGAACCTCCCAGATCTTTCGCTGGGTGTGGCGGAGGGGGAGAGGCAAGGCCAAGCAGAGTCACGGAGGGCTCAGCAGGAAGGGGGAGGAAGTCACTGGGGTAGGTGCGTGGGGAGAAGGGGCGACGGCCTTGGAATAAAGAGCGCCCCCTGGGGGCTGGATCTCTGCACCCTGTAGGGCAGCTGGGGAAGGGGCCCCCCCGGCCGCACCTGCACGTCGCTCCCGTTGAGGTGCATCCTTCGGATCATGCTGCCCTGAGTCGTCACATCCGTCCAGTAAATCATCTGCTCGCGGTAGTCGAAGTCCAAGGCGACGGCGTTGTTCAGGCCCTGCATGGGGGGACAGGTCTGACTGTAGACAGGAGAGGGCGGCTGGAGCAGCCAGTGAGCTGGGACGACCACGCCCCGCGGGAGGACGGCGCTCTGGGCCCCGGGCAGGTGCAGGGCGGAGGCGGGGGCTCACCTGCTTAAGCAGCGTGTAGTTGGAGCCGTCCAGGTTGAGCTTGCGCAGGTAGTACCGGTTGGCGAAGATCAGAAACGGCTCCTCATCTGGAGACAGAGGAGCCTGGCTCAGCTGCGAGCTGGGGCCCATTCTGGTGCCCCTGGTCCCGGGCTGTCGTGTGCTCGCTGTCCCAGCCCTCCCTCCACAGCACCCAGCTGCCCGGGCCACCTCACCGGTCACGGCCTTGCAGCTGTGGGGGTCGCCGCTGCGGGGGGCGTAGCCCTCCACGCACAGACACTTGTAGCTGCCGTGGGTGTTGATGCAGAGCTGGCTGCAGGGGAAGGTGGTGCTGCACTCGTCCACGTCAGCACACGTGCGGCCGTCGTCCTTCAGCCGGAAGCCGGGGCGGCAGCGGCACTGCGGGCACAGGGAGCCTTGGCTGGGGGCCGGGCAGGGGCCGGGCCTCCCCGGGGGCTGACGGCCCTTGTGGGGCTCTGGTTCCCTCCACTAGGAAAACCCAGACTCGCCACGGGAGGCAGGCAGCACACAGGCACTGAGCCAACCGTGCCAGCGATCCGGCCCTCACCCAGCGAGCCACCCTCCCCACAGTGAGCACCCCCCCATGACCGCCATGTGTCCACTTCCACAGGCGGTGCTCAGGCCTCAGCTGGGTGACCCTTGGGCACCACTGGACAGAGCTGGCCATGCTCCTCGAAGTTTTCCTCACCTGTTCTCAGCCCCAGCTGCTGCCCCGCCCCAGGTGCTCAGCCAGTTCTCCACCCCTCCCCAGCCCTAGGCGGCCAAGCACCGGGCTCAGGCCTGGGCTTCTCGTTTCCATCCATGCTCACTCCCTTGGGAATTGGATCCAGACTCAGGGACTTAAATGTCATCTCCATGGCGATCACTCCCAGTTTCGCTCTCCCGTCCAGCCTCTCTCTTGAATGGCAGCCTGGGCATCGTCTACTTGACACCCACATGCCCCCTGCTCTCTTAGCCTTTCTCATGTGGGCCAGCAAAGCCTGCCACCGCCCGCCCGCCCGGCTCGGTCGCTGCTGCAGGAGCCCTCGGGGGTGGATGAGTGATCGAATGGGGGTGGAGAACAGAGTGCCCCTCTGGCTCGGGGTGTGGAGGCCCCGCCCTGGGCCGGGGCACACCTTGAAGCCGATCTTGAGGTCCTCGCACTCCTGGCTGCAGCCGCTGAGCTTCCGGCTGAGACACTCGTTGACGTGGCAGCCCCGCTCGTCCGAGCCATCGCCGCAGTCATCCTGGCCGTTGCAGAGCAGCGCCTCGGCCACACAGCGCCCGCTGCTGCACAGGAACTGCGAGGAGGCGTAGCA